TATTTATTTATTTATTTATCCAATGCATGATTGAAATATTAACTAGACCAACAAATAAAAAAGAAAATACAACTGAATAATTAAATGTCCAATTGAATAATTCAAATAAGGTTTAAAATGATTAATTCAATAAAGAGAATCTGAAAATACTTAACCTTTATAAATTAATATCAGTCAACTGATTATATGTACTTTTAGGGGGTCAACGGTTAGTTGCATTTTATTTTGTGATGACATACGCAAAAACACTTCCAGTAGCAATGATGATGAAATCTAGTTATACAATCATTAGGGCAGAGGGTAACCAATATAAATGAAAACCACAACATATTTTAAGAAATCAGAATTTTTGTTGTGCACAACTTTGTTTTGTTCAAAAACATAAAAATGCCTATCAAATATTACGAACCCTGTTTTTAAATATAATACTGTCAACAAGTTTACGAGGTATTATTGCTAAGCTTCTGTTTGTAGATTATACTCTGTTACCTAACAACAGATTATAAAATATAAGTGTGCTTATTTAATGCGTTGAATGCCAAAAAGAGGCATTAGGTGTGTTTGTGACCTGATACATTCATCAGCCACATCAGGATGCGTAACGTCGGACATCCTTTCAGGCAGGATATGAAGCAAAATACCCTTTACCAAGAGGAGTCATGTGATGCTTTCCAGCTTTGCACTATTTTAACTTGCCTTTCCCTTAAAGTCGCTTCCTCTTTTTCTTTGTCACTCTTTCTGTCAGAGTACAACAACTGAGAAACAGAAGCATTTAAAGTACGCCTAACATCTGAATCTATCCACTGCTTAAAAACAGGACTTCTTGATCTGTTCTGGTAAGGAAACCTTTTACCACTTTCATTAATTAACTAATTAGATTATTGTATGTACTGTCTGTGCATGCAGTGATTTTTCACTGTGGTTACTATATTTGCTCAAGCTCTGATCTCACAGTTTTGCATAAGTTGCCTAAAAGGCTTAAAGAACTGTGACAAAGGGGACTGATTGTGGATATGATAAAGGGAAGTTATAGAGCATATATTCTCATCAGTCTAATCTCCAAATGTAAAATTCAATTTCTGCTTTTTTTGTTTGAAAATTATAGAGGTTGTTGTTATGGCGGCAATCCGGTTACTTCTGACTTTCCCATTTGTATCTGGTGAGTTTACCTAAGAACTGCATATAATCTAAAATGAAAAAAAAAAAAAAAAGTTAAATATGACAAATTATTTGCTAAATTTCCAGGTTTTTCTGATTCTTGCCCGAAGAACCCAGACCTTTTCATCACCACACCAGGAAACCTGTTAGCTCTGAGTGGATCATGTCTACACATCCCATGCAATTTTTCATCTAAAACAAGAGAAAGCTTTACAGGGGTAAACTACGGGGTATGGTTTATAAAGGATCCTAGATTTCAACGTTTTCCAAATAACTTGATTTTCAACAGCAGTGGCGCAGTAAAAGTGTATCCACTAGAAATTACAGGAAACCTGATGGAGAAAAACTGCACAACTTTATTTCACAATTTATCCATGCAATACTCAGATAAATACTTTTTCAGAATTGAGAACTCGATGTACAAGGCAACAGCTTCCTGCAGTCCGTGTCAAGTAACAGTAACAGGTGAATAATCTCATTATATGGGTATTTTATAATAAGCAAATTCGGTAAATCCTACTTTCTGGGAAAAATTTTGATGATTTCTTTCCATATATGTGTTAAATCAATCTGTATCTTTTTAAATCTATTTTAAAAACAGATGACTTTGATATTTTTTGGTCATTTAAGTTCAATTAGAAATATATTTTTAGACACATCTTATTTAAAGTAGGAGAGTTTTGTAATACATAAAACTGTCTTAATGGATAAGAGGAAGGAGTTTATGGAGTGAATTTATCCTAGATTTGTTTCTGATGTGAACTTCCAGATTCTCCCTGGAGTCCCAGCATTAATATCCCTGTTGGTGA